GAGTTTAAGTCTTCCGCATTACTTTCTGTTGATATTATATTGAAATGTTAAGGTTAGATTGGTTGGTTCGCTCACATAGGAGGGAAAGTGTGGGTGCCAGTCGCAACCCGGTTGGGTCGTGACAGTAAATATGTAAGTTATTTTTTATTTTTATTTAATTCAAATATTTATAACATAGAAATTCTCTTTTTTATTTATTCTCTTGCTTTAAAATTATTCTTCATTGTATTTGGTTAGATGGTTAGATGTAGTTTTATTTGGGTAGAATTTTCATTATAGAATTTTTTTTGATTTTTTTAGCATCATAAATAATGAGAGCAATTGTAGTATAGGTGACCTATTTAAAGTGGGATGGACGAAATATATAAGAAAATAACAATTAACTTTGGCACTGTTTTAATTGGAGAAGATAAAAAAGATAGACAAAATTGATAAAAGAGCTCATATAATATAGTTAAGCAGACAATAGAGTGAATATAAAATCGATGAAAGTAAATTAATTACTTAATAATTGCGCAAAGCGCAGTTAAATTTCCTAGTTTTAATTATAAATAGGATCAATAATTTAATTAAAAAATCATAATTATATTAGGGCATTTCAAGGAAAATTTATGAATACTGATTTTTTTATTATAGAATTTAAAGAATAAAATAAATGACACATTAATAAGTACAAATATTTATGGGGATATTGATTGCACACCAAAATTAAAAGGCACTTGTGAGAATGTGTCTTACTAAACTAAATATGTACAAAAATAGAATTTAAAAAAAGAATCATATACTAGTATTTGTTATAAATAGACTTTCTATCATAGTCATTCATACATCTCTCTATCAAAATCTCTTCTTCGTCTACTCATTCTCAAAGAAAAATCATTAAACATTTCACCAATGACAAAAAATATTTTGAACCTAATCTTGATTGTTCTTAGTAAGCATATGTCACCCTTTAATTTAGTATGAGTATTATTAAATTTAGTTATTGTGGTTTAATGTCAAAGGCAGGTCTAATGTTTAAAGTTTATGGGTTCTTATATTGATAGATCTCATTTTAAATATTGTTTTATATATTAGTATTAATTAAAATAGTAGTTACACTTTCCTTTATGTATGTATAAGGAGTTTCTTTTTCGATTGATTTATTATTTTGATGGTGAGATTTTAGAGTTTATATCCGAAGAAAGTACGGAAAAAAATACTATATGTTATGTTTGTGGGTATGATTGCGAAGGAGAGGGAGCTTACATAATCACGATTTTATAGGTGCATTACTATCATCTTTCAATGAGAGATCGTGATTTTCTTCTCCTAGAGGGTTTTCCATGTAAAATTATGTGATTTTTCTTTTGGTTATTTACTATTTCAATCTTTCGTTGTCTCATAAAAAAATTATGCGATTTTTCATGTTCATATAGTGAAATGAATTGTTGAGGCTTCATAAATTTGGTTGCTTGCTTGGGATAGAACTATTACTTGGTAAACGATTAAACTCTTGAAGTTTTTTGTGATGGTAACAGATGAGCATTTGTGATTGAAGAAAAAATTATGCAGTCTTGTACTTGTGCATCATAGGAAGTATGTCTAGCATAAACAATTACTCTTATGTCAAACATATACTACAATTTTTTAACTATATGATTATGCTTTAAAAGAAGGAAAAAAGGATTACATAGCCACTTGTAATGTTGACAAATAAAAGTTCTATTCATATTATATCATGTTGTTGAGAAGAAATATGTTAAAAAGATCAAAATGGACACCTTTGTTAGGATCATTTCAATGAAATACAAATATCTAGGGGAGAAAGGAGAGAGAGGAAAGAGGAAAGCGAGATAGGAAGGAGGCGAGAGTGAGATAAGAAGGAAGCAAATGAGAGAGGAGGGAGACAAGCGAGAGAAAGTCAAATGTATCTTGGATCCACGTGAATCATATTATGTACATGCATTTAAGATACCAAATATAGTCTGAAATATACATACATAGGGAGAGAGGAAAGCAAGAGTCAATGTATCCCAAACAAATGTGAAGTCAGTGTATCGATCATAAATAAATGTAAATTCACTAGGATACACCGATACAGTGTATCTACAACAAATTACACTTAATTTCGACTATATGTATTCAAAACACGTATATCTAAACGTGTTAATATGCCTGTATCTAAAAAATCAAAATCTAACACGAATAAAGATCTCAAAAACTTATAAACTAGTGAGATTTGTGTTGTTTGTGATTATTAAAAAGTGATCCTTTTAACTTTCTACTCCAAATAAGAATGAGAAACCATCCATCCCACTACACTCTTGAATGTGAACCACAACTTGCATGGCTTTGGATTAACCATTTTAGACTCTTGAATGTGAACCAACTTTCTTGGCTTTGGATTGAGTTGACCATTTTAGACTAAAGACCAAAACCCAAGTTGAAATTAAAAGGAATGTCATGTCAAAAATATCAAATTTAGAGCAAAGCCATCTATTCTTCCTAGCTGGCTATTTAATGACTTTTTTTTCCTATTCAAACCATACACTATTTAATGCAAAACATCTATACCACCCACCCATGCACCCACCCACCTATCTAAACCATATTTTTTCCCTTTAATCTAATGGAGCTTCTCTTAGTATTCTCCCAATGTCCACCATTCCCTCCGCCGCCTACGGCGGTCCACCACCACCTCTAACCACCACCAATACGCTCATCGAGAGCCTCAACAAAATAGGCCTCGGCTACGCAATTGCAATTGCCCTTGCCTTCCTCTTCCTCCTATCAACTCTCATCCTTTCATCTTACCTATGCTGCCGCTCCGCTGCCTATCGCCGCCGTCAAGCCCAATCCCAGTCTCGAAACCCGAACACCGGAATTTACATTCCGAGTGTAATTTTCGTTGCTGAGGAAGACGAAAACGACGACGTTTCATCTCAGAACACTTTCGCGGGCCTCAATCAAGCAGTAATCAACTCTTACCCTAAATTAATTTACTCAAGCAGAAACGGAAATTGGGGAAACGGAAACGGAAGCAGAAACGACGTCGTGTGTGCGATTTGTTTGTGCGATTACAAGGAAGCGGAGATGTTACGGATGTTACCTGAGTGTAAGCATTATTTTCATGTGATGTGCGTAGATGCGTGGCTGAAATTGAATGCTTCATGTCCAGTCTGCCGGAACTCGCCGTTGCCGACGCCGATGTCCACGCCGTTGTCGGAGGTGGTCCCACTTTCACAATATTCCGATGGTCGGAGAAGACATTGATGACTGAAAATAGATGAGGAAGCGCTTGGAATTTTCTTTTGTGTAATTTGAAATTGGAATTTCTGTTGAGTATTAGTCATTCTCTGATTTTAGATTTCAAAGAAAGAATATATTTCTAGATCTAATAATATTTTATTTTATCTTGAAATAAATTTTTTTAAATATCTATGACTTCTATTTTAAATCAAGAATTTTAAAAATATTTACCTTCTTAAATTACATCACATAAATTAATACGAAAAAAAGTATGTTGGTCATTTTTCTCTAATTTAAAATCGTAATAAATGATGATCACTTCTATTTTTGGTACCTGAGAAAGGGGTAAGGCGGAAGAAATTCTCACAGGTAAATCAAATTAAATCTATTTTCAAATTAAAGAAAATTGTAACAATAAGTTAACCAAAAAAAATTATCATATCAATATGAATTGTGATATTTTGATGAAATTATTTTACCTTTAATTAAAGATTTTAAATTTAAAATTTACATTAAAAAAACTTTACTTAAATTTATTAGAAACTTTTATATACACTCTAAATAAATAATGAAAATCATAATACAAAAAAGTAACGGCAAGTCATTGGATTTATCAAGTACCTCAAAAGAAATGGCTACTTCTTAAGAATATGGTAATACAAAAATATAAAACTATTTCAAGTACGTCAAAAAATAAAATTTATTTTAAAGTGAAACTATTTTGAAAGAACTTCTTTTTTTTATAGATAAATTGTTACGACATATTTGAAGGAATATATCATGATGTATGTTAATTTTTAAATGATATAATATTAATTGATGAGATTTGTGAAAGAGTTAAGGCTAAGCTGGAGGTTTAAAATTAAGTATAAGTTATATAAATATCATAGTGTAAAATTTTAATTACCTTTTATTCTTATTATTTTTATACTTACATAAATCTCATATTTTTTAGGCATTTTAAATACATAATTAAGAATCCGGATATATTATTATTGATAGATTATGTATCAATCTGTTGCATTTATTAAGAAAATAAAAAATCTGTTAAATCAATTTAAAATTTCATAATATCCATTTGTTGCAATAATTAAGGGGAAAAAGCTGAAAATTAAATTAACATCATATTCCATTCAAATTATTGTCAAAAATTTAAAATCCTTTAGTGTAACAAACCAAAAAAATCAAAAACTTAAATTTCTTTCTTCTTGTTCATCGTTCTCTCTGTTTCATAAAAAAATTTGTTGAAATTTTGAAAAGAGATGTGAGTTATGAAGGATTGTATGGAATCGTTGCTGGACAAACAATTTCTTTTGTGAATCTTCAAGTTCATCGAATATCCTTTCGATTTTGATTCAGAATTATTGAATTTCCTAGTTTAGATAAGAGATTGATACATAAGAGTGTGGTAGTTGCTATGTAATTGATACATTTAGTATAAATTCGAATTTATGTATCATATCTAGGAAAATAGTGCATGATACATTACTATTTATGTATCTCATTTAAATTGATTAATATTATATTGTTTGTCTTGAAAGATATGGATGCTAACATAATGTATCATTTTGTAGTTGATGATAATGTATCTGATACAATAAGGTTGTTAAAGAAGAATGTACCTAATCTGAAATAATATGTATCTATAAATGTATCACAATAAATAAGAATTAAGTTATCAATTACATACATGAACAAACACAATTCATGAAAATAATTTTTTTAATGAAAAACACCAGAATAAAGAGAAAAATATTAAACCGTATGAAATTTTGGTGAAATTAAAACTAATATTATTATGAGACAATTAGAAGATTAGTAGTAATACAAGAATCCTAATCAATTTTAATGAATGATTAGTTGTTAGATCCATAACCAACTCAAATTATGAAAAATTTACAAGTATTATATATATTTTTTAATCAAACACATTATGTGAGTTTTATTAATAAAAATACAGAAATCAAATACGAATATCAAACCCAACAATGATTTGGAAATAATAGAAAAATAAAATAACTATTAAAACAAAAGAAGAAAAAAGAAGGAAAAATTGAAATTAAAAAAAGAACTACAACAGAAAAGGCGAACTTCTACAAATATTATATTAATTATTATTAAAGAATTACTAATAGCTACTGAAAATCAAAATAAATTCAAAATTTGTAAATGCTAAAGAAGTGGAGAGAATTTATGGGATAAAATGAAGGAATATAATGGAGAGTGAGAAACATAGATATATGCTGAAAATAGGATTGACATATTTATGTATGTGAAAGATTTTATGTATTGAAGGAATTAAGGAATTTTTGAAATTTTTTAAAAAGATAGAAATAAATGGATATTAAGGTAAGTTAATATGTATATAAGTAATTTTTTTTTAAAAAAAAGAAACCTTGGGATTAAAATAAATTCATTCACCAACCTCACGAAGTTGAGATTTGATTAAAAAAAATAATTAATTGAACTGACCTCTACATTTTGGTATAAAAAAAATAGAATTTAATAATATCGACCTCTTGGGATTGATTGATTTTGGGCGTATTAGTATGTCCGCTTATCATATTTTATATATGTTTAACGTTATTTTGAGAATGATAATGATTTATAATCATATGTTTAACGTTATTTTGAGAATGATAATGATTTATAATCATATGTTTAAATGCATATTCTTGATAATAAGCTAAAATAGGCCGTTAAATATATTTCAAATAAAAATAATAAGAAAAAAAATCATTTAAGAGGAATCAAAGATGAAATGTTAGAACTAAGAACGAAATTAGAAAGATTCTGAACAAAGCGAAAATTGGAATATTGACGGATGCACCTAAAACCCTTGTTCTAGGGTTACGATCATAACATAATTGTTTAATAAATAATTAATTTGACAAAGTTTGTTTATCATATTAGTTGTTTTCATAATCTTGTGATTATTACTTTAATATAGTTGGAATAAATATATTCTCTCTTTATGAATTCAAAAGAAGAATCAATAGAATGAAGCTTATGAACAGTAAGACGAATTAATATCCGTCTTAGATTGGAATATACCTAGAATGCTATATTTAATTATAAAATGGAAAGATATATCAACGTGTTTATGTTGATTTATCATATTTTCGTTCAACGATATATTGGTAAGACCAATTTAAATAGATTTCTACAGGTCTAGATGATCATGATCATGTCATTTATTCCGTAAAATCAATAACTATATGAATGAATAGAATCAATAAAATCAGATACTTTACATAATTGTATAATAATAACTAGTCATACCATCAAAATTTCTCTCAAACTGTGATAATGACCAATTTGCATTCACTCTTTAAATTTAGGTAGATATAGACATTAACCAAAATCTTCTATTGATTAGTTCTCAACTCGTTTAATTTGCAATATTAAAATAAACTAGATTATTGTTAAGTCTTTAAATTCTTTGAAATGATATCTAAATTTCCTTAGTTTATATTATTTGTAAAATCAAGTACATTTATTTTATTGAGAGTCTATACCATGAATATTGATATTCTTAAAACAATTATATTTTTAAATTAAACCACCCTTAGGAGGTTAATTTTTTAATTAAAGTATTTTTTCCCAAATATATTAGAATTACGGATGCATTTTGAGCATCACAATTATTACATCGTTAATTTTTTACTTAAAGTTTTTTTTTCTTCTAAATATATCAGGGATGCATTTTGTGTTGGATTATATTAGTTGAATTGTAATGTATGGTTATAATTTAAATTTAATTAAATTCTATGCTTATAAAAAAATTGATTTAAAATCGTAATTTAAATTTATTAAATTTATAATTTATAAAACGTCTTTATTTTTGAGAAATTTAAATGTATATTTAAGAACATAAGGATCTCTTACCTTCATTAAACTTACTATTGGTGAATATTTTTCAATATTCAAATCTACTCCAATAATACAAAAGTAAATTAAGTTTTAAATTTAGTTTTTCTTAAGTTACGAATTTTAACTTTTAAAGAAAAATAAATATATTCAAAATACAGATTCAACTTTTTAATTTTATCACACAACATCAATTTTGAATTTTCTTTTTCAAATATAACTAAATTTTTGTCTACTAATTAAATCTCATTAATTGGCAACACTTACCCGCGGTGAATATTTTCAAAATTTAAATCTACCTTACCCATAAAGTAAATTAATTTTTCAGATCAGAAAAAAGAAAAATATTCCCTCACACGTGTGGAACTTTTATTTCAGGCTCGGTATAGTACCCATACCTAGCGGTTCGGATGTTCGGTCCCTCCTCTTTTTCCCCACATATATAGTCTCACTTTCTTCTTCACTGCTTCAATTGTTCAGTAATCGAATCGGAGCTCCGATCCACACTGAAAATGGCTGAGCAAGTTGAGCAACACTCAGAGCACAAAGAAGAATCGTTCATGGAGAAAATAGCAGATAAGATTCACTTCGACCGTTCCTCTTCCTCCTCCTCGTCGGATTCCGATTCCGAGGTGAAACCTGCTGCCGCACCGGAAGCGTCGCCGTCGTCGGTAAAGGCTAAGATTTGGCGGCTGTTCGGAAGAGAGAAGCCGGTTCACCATGTTTTTGGTGGAGGCAAACGTATACTACTTAAACTTTAGTTTGTTACTAGCTGCTTCAATTTTGTATATTTATTTGTTTAATGATTTCAAACTTTAGGTTAAGTGATTGCTTGTTGAGTGATGGATTAGGGTTTAGGATTTTGAAGTATCTTAGCTCCTGTTTGGATATAGATTTTGAAGTTGAAACTTGATGAGCCAATTTCTGTTCACTTGAATATATTTGAAAATTAGATTTTCAAAATCAGATCAAATTTCATGGCAAACATATATAACTTTTCAAACTTTATGGCTAAACGTTAGCTTAAAGCATCTGCTTGCCAGGACTTAGGTCGGGTAGAGCAATACAAATGTGTTATTTGTGATAAGCTGGTACTGTTGAGTTGTAGTAAATCAACTCTAGTATTTAAGTTGAGAAGGTTAGAGGGATCGGTCTATTATCTATCGCGTTGGTTGGAAGCTGAAAATAGTATTTTGTGAGTTACTAAAAAATATCTTAAGGAATGTTGAGATCAAATATGTTATTAGTTATATATATATGTTATGCTTGTGTTGAGGTTCTTTAGTGGAATAAGCATATCCTTGTAAGAGGGAAGTGATGAGTAATGGGATTTTAGGCTATTGCCATCTGATTTTCGGTTGACAAGAGGGGGTTGCTGTGATAGTAAGAGAGTTGCCAAAAGGCGGAAGCTCTCAGGGAGGGGTTTAAAAATAAAGATTTTTAGTCGCTTTATGGGGATGGTGCGTAGAGTTATATGAAGGAGTGCTATGAGTTGGATTTTTGAAAAGAGAAATATCAGTTTGATTATGTCTGGTTTTATGCAGCTGCTGATGTATTCTTGTGGAGGAACAAGAAGATATCTGCTAGTGTACTTGGTGGAGCAACTGCAATATGGGTTCTTTTTGAATTGCTCGAGTACTTCCTGGTTGGTCTAGTCTGTCACTTGTTGATCTTCACCCTTGCTGTCTTATTCTTGTGGTCCAATGCGACAACCTTTATTAACAAGTGAGCTTCTAATTTATTTTGCATTAATTGATTCTGCAATTTGCTTAGCCACTTGTCGGAAACAGTTTGATGCATTCTTTTGACAGGAAACGTCCACACATCCCAGAAGTTCAGCTTCCGGAGGAGCCAATACTAGAGATTGCTTCTGCTCTGAGTATTGAAATTAACCGTGCTCTTAGTATGTTGCGAGAAATCGCAACTGGGAAAGATCCGAAAAAGTTCCTTGCTGTAAGTTGCTTAGTTACTATCTTTCCTTGTATAAAGTTTACTTAAAACTCTGTTATTCCTCCTTTGCCATCAGCCATGCTGAAAAAAGAAAATGGTAATGATTGTCTTGCTCATCCTCTTTAGATTTCACGTCACACGTGAACTTAAACTCCTAACTCTTTTTCCGATTATTAGGTCCTTGAGATCACTAAGCATTTCTAGTTTTCTTAAATAGGTCCAGTTGAGCTTGTGACATGTCATTCAGTAATGTCACTATGGTATTCTATATCTGTTAATTCATCGGAATCATCTTTGTTTACATAAATTACTCACTTTATCAGGTCGTTACTGGTTTATGGATCCTCTCAGTTGTCGGCAATTGCTGCAACTTTCTGACATTGTTCTACATATGTAAGTGCAAATTTTATAGGGGTCGTTTTGTATTTGTTATCTTTTCTAAACTGATACTGATTATATCTTCCTCTCAATGCAACAGTATTCGTACTCCTCCATACAGTTCCTGTTCTTTACGAGAAGTACGAAGATAAAGTAGATCCTTTAGCTGAGAAAGCAGTGCAGGAGATCAAGAAACAGTACGCTATCTTTGATGCCAAAGTTTTGAGTAAAATTCCCATAGGGCCATTAAAAGATAAGAAAAACGCATAGTTTTGCTGTGAGCTACTTGTCGGGCAGGAATATTCTAGCTACTGTGAGTTTTCAGAATTTTACTATTTCTTGTGTTTACATAGGCCTTCAGGCATCTTACATATCTGCTTTTGGTACTTTATTGCCTTTCGGGATCTCTACTTGCCAACATATTGAAAATCCAGCAGGATTAGTTTATGAACCTTGTATCAACATATTAAGTCAGTAAATTTGTTGAGTTATTGATCTGTTATATAATGACTGTGGTGTTACTTAGTCATATATTTGAAACACTCTTTATTATAAAACAGTTTATAAATATAGTATAGTAACTTTGGTACTACATAGTAAACTATTGACACACTTGATTTACGGGTCAATTTGAGCTACATAAGGCAAAGTGATTATATTCTTTGATTCAATGAATAGTTGAAGAAATTTTTAAAGAATCATTATATTAAAGAGGAGATTCATTTGAAACTTCTAATCGAAGTCTTAGTAACTATTTTATGAGTTAATATGAATAGAGACTGGAATCATTGAAAGTATATTAACGAGGCTATATTCAAATTTTGAGAAAGATTAGATGATTTAGAATGATATGGGGTCCAAAGTCAAAGCTGAGATTAGGTTGACAAATTTTTTAGCTACACATGTATATCACACTGTATGTGTTATGCTTGTATCATTTTGATATGTATCGATATATACATGAAGCATGTATTGATATACACAGATGTAACCCAAACAAAATCTCTAGTTAAATAGTGATTATTGGAGAAACCAACTCTATCTTCATTACCAAATGTGTCATAAGGGAATGAAAAGTGCCTTGGAGGATTCTACATATCATCAATAAAGTGTAAATTATGTATATAACATTTTATGTAGTCATATTTTCAAGTTATGGCATAAGAGTTTGATTTTCATTGTATAACATTTAATATATCAAGTTATAGCATTTTTTATTAAGAAAATAATGTTAATTTTAAATTATTAAAAATAGATAGTAAAAAAAACAAAAACGGATAAATTAATATTAGATAGTGTGACGCGTGAAATTAGTTATTATTAATTACTGATAACTAATGTGCACATTTTAAGGGATTTGAAATTTTTTTAATTTTAGATAAATACCATAAATGTCTCAATTAGTTTTAAATGATAATAAGTTATGATTTTAATCCTTAAAAAACTCTAATATGTTATTTTCTTTCCTTAAACGTGCATTGTTTGTTTTTTTTAGAAATTGAGAATTATTTTGATATTTGAATATTGTTATATTTTTTCATTTTTTTTGAAAATTCTTAAAATTTGACGTTAAAAACGATTAGATTTGATTTGATGGAGAACATTGTGTCAATATTAATTAAATATGGTGGCAAGTGGAATTCATCAGGTTAGTTTTTAATTATGATTTGTTATGTTTTAAGTATAAATTATTGGTTGTAATTATATATATATATATATATATATATATATATATATATATATTA